AAGCAGTGCTTTCAGAACCAGGGCCTTGCGCAGTTGACCACCTGGGAAGGGAGGAGGCAGGTGCCTAAGCAGCTGCCATGAAGTGACCTCCGGCAGCCTTACAGGCGTGAGGCCTTCCTTGTTCTGCAACAGTAGTGAGCCAGCCCGCTGTTCCTCCCCCACTGAATAGTCTTGGAACCCCTGTCAGAAACCAGCTGCCCATAAATGTAAGGGTTTATTTATCTCTGGACTCTCTGTTCTGTTTCATTGACCTGTGTGCCTGTCCTCATGCCAGTCCCAGTGTCCTCATTGATCTGCAGTAAGTTTGGAAATCAGGAAGTGTGAGTCCTCCAACTTTGTTCTTTTTCAAGATTGTTTTGTCATCTGAGTCCCTTGCATTTCTAAATGAATTTTAGGTTCAGCTCATTTCTGTGGGGGAAAAAAAAGGCTGGGATTTTACTAAGCAGTGAGATGACCCTGTAGCCCACCTTGGGGAGCACTGCCCTCTTAGCAATGTCAAGTCTTCCAGGCCATGAACAGGGATGTCTTTCCATTTGCTCGACTCTTTACTGTCTTTCACAATGTTTTATAATTTCTAGCATACACATCTTGCTTTCATTTGGTTACATTTATTCCCAGATGCTTTATTCTTTTTGATGTTGTTATAAATGGGTTTTCTTAATTTCATTTTTGGATTATTCATTGCTAGTGTATAGAGCTATAGTTGACTTGGATACATTGATCTTATATCCTGCAACTTTGCTGAACAAGTTTATTCAACTAGTTTTCAGTTGATTCTTTGGTATGTTCTATATGCAAGATTATATCATCTGAAAAAAGAAGTAGTTTTACTTCTTCCTTTCCAATCTGGATGCCTTTTATTTATTTTTCTTGCCTAATTGCTGAGAAGGGGCATTTTGAAGAAAGGCTGAGCCATCTAAGATGAGGAAGCAGCCCAATGCTTGTCAGGCTTCCCGACCCCCGCTGGCAGGAGGATGTAGCTTCTGTGTGTAAGTGCTGCAGTTAGCAGAGGGATTCGCATCGATGACCTCGGGATGCCTGGTAGTGCTTGAGAAGTAGGGGTAGCATCTGCCTTTCATGAAAAGGACTAGAGAGGCTCAGAAGATAAATGCTATGCCCAAGGACCAGCCTTCCCATGCAGAGCAGTCAGTGCCAGATGGCCCACTTGCCTGCCCCCTCCCAGAACCCCCAGTGCCAGGCTCCCCTCCACAGCCACCTAACAGTGCTGTGTGTCTGCCGCCCTCCTTGTCCTCTTAGAATTGGAATTATGCCACAGTCAAGTCAGGAAGCCACGATCTGCCTCAAACAGGTGATGTTTTCCTCCTTTGGAGACGCACCTCCTTTGTAGCTCCAGGGTGGTGTTTCGCACGTCTGCTGCCTGTTTCAGTTGTTGACTCTGAGTGCCCACCTCTCTCCCAACTCTCTCAGAGCTATCTAAGGGTGGAGACAATCTCCGTCCCCCCTCTGTCCCCTGATGTGTGACACACAGAGCTGTGTACACTGTAGGTGCCCATGTACATTGAAATAATATACAACTGGTTTGGCAAACCTTTGCCGAGTTGCCCACCTGAAGAAGGGCTCTCCCACACGTGCAGAAGGGTGATGAGTGTGCCCTCAAGCAGGCTGTGCCTGCTGCCTGACCCCCAGGAGGTGACGTCCATGGTAGGTGGCATCCACAGGAGGTGGCGTCCACGGGAGGTGACAACCACAGGAGGTGGCATCCACAGGAGGTGGCCACATGAGGTGGCGTCCACAGCAAGTGGCAGCTACAGGAGGTGATGACCACAGGAGGTGGCACCCACAGGAGAACCCTGATGTTTGCAGAGCAACATGGCCAAAAAACAGTGCCAAGGCCGAAACAAAGTGGGAAGCGTGAGTGTTTGATGGAACCGGCTGTTGTCCTCTACAGTAATGCTTGCTTAATACATAGTCTACTAACCATCGGAGGAAGTGTACAGTGTACAGTAGTAACCTTTTAGAAGGCAGTTTGGTAATGAGGATAGTATTTTCAAATGCACATCTTCGACCCTGCAGTTCTGTGGCTCTATGCTTGCCTAAGTGTGCAACAATATATGTTCAGGAATGCTGGCCTGCATGTATGTAACAGCAAAGTGTTCAAACCGGCCCAATCTTCCATGAGGAGAGCCGGCCGTGTACATTATGGGAAGGCATGCATGGAGCGCTGTGCAGCCCCTCGGAGTTATAAGGGGTCCCCACATGCTGCTGTGGCGAAGCACGCAGGATACACCACTGGTGACAAAAGAAAGCTAGGCTAGTTTGCACGTGCGACACAGTTTGTGTGCAGGAGAAAAAGATACGTTGTCTCATGTGTGATTTGCCATTTCTGGCCCACAGGAGGTGATGTCGCACAGAACACCCGTCAGGAGCGTCTGCCTCTGGGACCTGATTCTTTTCACTTTACTCCCCGTATCTTAGTGGTTGGTTGTTTTCCCAAGAGCATGTACTGTTATAAATGAAAATCTCATCACCGCCTGTTGTGTCAGGCAGGTCCACATCAGGCGCATACAGTTTCAGTTTGAGAATCTATTTTAAAGTATATGACTATGTAAATATCACAAGTTAACCAAACCCAACTAGAACCATTTGGAACAGTTACTTTATAGTATTCTTTATTTAGGTTTTAAGTTAAGATGTAATTCACATACCATAAAATTCACCCGTTTAACGTGTACAGCTCAGTGGTGGTTAGCGTCATTGCAGAGCTGTGCAGTCATCCTCACTATCCAGTTCTGGAACCCCTCGATCACCCCAGCAAGAGACCCCATGCCCGTTAGTGACACGCCCCTCCCCCAGCCCCTGGTAACCTTGGGTCAGCTTTCTGTCCCTGGATTTGCCTGTTCTGGACATTTAATTCTCTCTGTTAACTCAGCGAAGGGGTATTGAGTACCGTCTATCCACCAGGCACTATTCTAGGTACCTGGGGTTTGTCAGTCAACAAAACAGATCAAAATCCGTGTCATCACGGAGCTTATGTTCTACTGAAGAGAGAGAGACAATAAACATGAAGCACAAGGCCGGCTGAGTGGTGTGTTGATTAGGAGTTGGCTTGAGACTCCAGCTTTGAGCAGCAGGGCCCCAGTTCGGATCCCACATGAGGGCCAGTGACACTGCGCCCTCTACAGCTAAGATGGTGAACAACAGCTCGACCTGGAGCTGGGCTGCTGTCAGTCACTGGTGTCGGCGTAGGCTGCAGTGGGGCTGGTCAGCAGCCAGCATGAGCTTTCGTGAGCCACCGTGAGTGGCTGTCCAATGGCAGATGGCCGATCTGCCTTACCTGGGAAGAGCGCAATGATAATACCAACATGGGCCAGTGAAGCGACGTCCTCCACAACTAGACTGAAGAACAAAAGGACAGCAACTTGTCTGTTCCCCTCCCCCAATTCCCCAATAATAAAACCTTTGGGGGGGGGGGAAGCCATGAAGCACGCAGTCCTAGAAGGCAGGAAGTGCCGTGGGGAAAGCGCACACAGGGCAAAGGGGGTCGCGTGCATGCGGCCGGCGTCCTTGCAAAGGCAGGACGTGTATTCCAGGAGGGAGGCGCCTAGAGCACCTGTGGAAAAGGTGCCCCATGTGGGGAGCGGGAGAGGGCAGCAGGTCAACTCCTGGTCCCCCTTTCCTGACAGGCCAGATTCATGGGGGCACCTTCCTAGTTCGCATGTTAATGAGCAGGACCCCGACCAACAGGTCTGTGAGCCTAGGGCTGCTGGCCTGTTGACGTCATTTTGACCATTTGTGAAACTTGGTTTCACAAATGGACCGATTTCACTGGAGGCTGCCACACTGCCACAGTAATGTTCTATTTTGTTAAACCTAACCCAGGTGTGGCTCAAGCACCAGTTCATTTATCTGTCAGATGTGCTGCTGGCATTCATGCCCAAACACCCCTGGGCATGAAACATTCATTCTTTCAGCCTCAGAAGGAGCTGACCGCAGTGTGAGGACCGAGGCCCACCGGGAACAGCTGACCCGCTGTGCACAGCCATGCAGATGGGAGAAGGGTGGTGTTGGGGCCAGTCTTCAGGACCGCATGAGTAGAAAGAGTGGCCCTTCTTATAAGCAGCAGGAATTGATGGATTGAAGAAGGACACAGTAGTTTGGAAGACACTTCCTCTGTAGGTCCCCAGAGGTGCGCCACGCACTCTGGCTGGGTGCTGGCTGGGCTGCCCAGGCTGGGGTCTTTGTGGTTCTCGTCTAGGAACTGTTCCCTTTGTCCCTTGATGGGACCCTGCAGGTGGGTACCAACCATCTGCAGACTTGTCACCATATGCGATGGGAGAGCCTGCCCAGATGGCAAAGGAGATCCATCCAGTCCTACTGTCCCCTCGCCAGCTGTCCCCGGACACGAAAGTGCCCGTCCATCCACGATGGGCCCGCCATGAAGCTTTGTGGTGCGCAGTGTGGGGACCTGAAATGAGGTGGGAGCAGGCGGAAGGCAGGCTCCAGTCCTGTCACCCAACCTGCGGCACACTGTGGGCACACTGTCGTGGGGTGGCATGGTGAAGAGTAGGGCCAGGAGTTTGCACACCATCAGACATTAGGTGCTGTTGTCAGAATGAGATGCCATCGCAGTGTGACAGGCCACCCCGAATCGTGTCATCGAGACTGTCATCGCCAGTGCAACAAGTAGGAAATAAAATTGGTTGAGAGTGGCTGTTGCTTGGGCCAAATATCAGAATGATGCATAGAAGTTGAAGTCACGGCAAGTGAAGTATCTGTATTTTAAAGAACCTTGCAAATACAGTGTACACCTTTTCGGAAGTTTTTTGAATAGCAACATAAATGTAGCGTCTGGGTGAAGTAGGAAGAAGGGGACACATTTGGTGTCTTGGTCCCATCACATACTGAAGTCAGGACGGTCTTGTGTTTCCTAAAACTGAAAGGCGCACTTTTGCTTTTCCAAAGCTATGTTTGTTATTTCCTCACGCCATTTAACATGATAGTGCTCTACTTATTTACTGTTCTTTTTCCCCAACAGAAATTCTCTTTCTTAAAATGGAGTCGAGCAAAAAGATGGACTCTTCCGGCTCACTGCAGACCAACCCACCGCTGAAGCTGCACCCTGACCGTAGCGCCGGGACGTCAGTGTTCGTCCCTGAACAAGGAGGTTACAAAGAAAGGTTCGTGAAGACCGTGGAGGACAAGTACAAGTGCGAGAAGTGCCGCCTGGTGCTGTGCAACCCGAAGCAGACCGAGTGCGGACACCGGTTCTGTGAGACCTGCACGGCCGCCTTGCTGAGGTACGTGCCCCCTCCCTGGGCTGCGCTCACGGTGCGTTTCAGGTTCTCCAGCCTCGCTGTCCCACCCACCCCTTCATTTATTTGCCTAACACATAAACTCGAGTTTAGAACTCTGAAGAAACCCAGTAAATTCTCAGAGGCCAGCGTGGGAATAATTTAGGGAAACCCAGTAGGACCCACACCTGAGTTTAAGGGGCCTCTGACCTGCACCCTGGACCTCCCACCCCATTTGCAGACTCCTGTCTTCCCCTCCCACAAGCATCTGCTGTAATGTCTCCTGCTCCTGCTGCTTTCTCGATGGTGCTGGCCACTCTGGCCCTAGTGCCCCCATTCCACCCCCATCTGTGTTGCTGAGTTTTGCTCAAGGAGCCCACAGTTCCATGGAGACACCCATCAGCAGATAGCGAAGTGCAGTTGCTCTGGTGTGCAGGACTGAGGAGGGCAGGGTCATCAGCAGGGGCCGGACACGTCCCCAGCCTGAGTAGGAATCCAGTCTGTACACTGACCCAGCACGTGTGAGTAGAACATGTGCTGAGCCCCTGGTCAGCTGAGCACTGATCCCATTTTAGAGTCACGGGGCGGTCAACACAGCGGGCTGGAGCCTTAGGGCAGAAGTAACACTGGCCAAGAAAGCTGCTTCGTTCACCCTGCAGGTATTTTCTGGGTGTGGTGCTGGGCACAGGGTTTACGGCAGGACGCGCTCAGACTCAGTGCCATCAGGGCACAGGGGCCTGAGAAGGCTGCCGCCTCCTCTGTGGACCCCACTGAACATGGCCTCCAGCCCCCCTCCCCACCGCCCTCCTCCGGGTACTCCCAGCTGTGCTCCTTCCTGTCTACTTACCCTAAACGGTGAACTCCGCTTCCCCGCTTGTGGGTGAAGGAACTCTTTAAGTTGAGCTTGTTGACGGCAGTAACTCAGAGCACCTGATCTCGGCAGCAAGGAACCAGCTGCTGACTGCAGCTCCGGGCCTGCGGACTGGCAAGGGCGCACCCTGGGGCTGGTCCTGTGTTTGCCCCTTTTCTGCTCCGGGCTCTCTGCCTGCTCAGTGCTTTGCCTGTGTCAGGGGACCCCACACAGACACTGCTCAGCCCCAGGGCCTAAGGATGTGCAAAGATTCATACGATTCAAACAATTCTGCACGAGCTCCATATTAGTGTCGTCTGAATGAATGAGCTTTTCTTATAAAATACATTCATTTTGTCCCCGTCACCCCTCAGCTCTCCGGCCTGGCTCTCCAGGCTTGTGGAGCCTACACCCTCCGTCCACAGCCCCAGCACATGTGCCCAGCCCTGCCACCTCTTCCCTGAAGCCTCCCTGGCACTCCTGGAGCCCTAAGGCAGGGCTGTGGCAGTAGGCAGGGCTCACACTTAAGTTTTATTTTTAATCTCTAGGAAGTGGTTTCCAGGCACAGGATGGGGTGAGAAGTCCAAAAAGGGTACCTTGGGAGCAGTGGCTCATGTCCTGAGTTTAGGCACAAGAATGACAGGAGACGGGTGGTTCCTTTAAACTTCGTGCTGTTTAGGTCTGTGGAATTGCACTGGCCTTTCAGCACACCGGGAATAAAAAGAGCTGCGGAGAAAGTACCAGGCTCTGAAGAGCTGGATGCTCACCCTGCACAGCCCTCCACAGAAAGCTAGTTTTGGTTTCTGAAATAAAATTTCACTTTTAATTGAAAGGGGTTTTCCAAATGAGACTGATCTAGTTGTTCTACTTACCAACTTCCTTACAGAAAATTACCATTAGAAATATTTTTGCCCTTTTCTTTATCTTTAAACCAAACTTGCCCTGGCGTCCTGAAGCTCTGATTGCCGCCCAGAGTGTCACACAGCCGCCGGGCCGTCAGTGGGAGTCTGTGCATCCAGGAGTCCAGATGACAAGGGCCGTCCGCTCTAACGTACTTGTTGTGTATTTCCCCTCAGTTCCTCAAGCCCAAAATGTACTGCGTGTCAAGAAAGCATCATTAAAGATAAGGTATTCTGGGTTTTTAATAAATTATTTGGTGAAATGTTCTCAGCTGGGTAGTTTACCTCCAGGGCTCTGGTGCTCCGATTGTGTCTCAGCGTGTGACAGCAGGTACAGCAGGGTCGGGTCAGGGGACCGTGTCTCGTAAGCAGATGAACAGAGGGCAGGCCTGCTCCGTGGCTGCCCAGCTGTGTGAGCTCAGTGGGGAGCACCACCCTCTGAGACTCTTCTCACCTGTAACAGGTGCTCCCCCACCCCCGAGGCCCCCGGAGGAGTAAAGGATCCAGTGCAAGTAAAGTGCAGACGCGAGCTGTCATCTCAGGCCCTTATCCCCGACAGCTTGTACTTGACTTTCACAAACACGTGCTCGCCTGAGGGCTTCCTTTGAATTTGCCCTGCCCCTGTCCCCCACACAGCGTCTCAGTCATTACACACATGGAGATTTCAGCCCCTTTCCTCCCCCACGTGATTGGCTGTACACTGAAAGCTCGTGAGTGTCACTGCAGAGCACAGGGGCCACCCAGGTCGCCCACCAGCTCCCCTCCTGGGTCCCTGATCCCCTCTCATGGTGTCTCTGGTCATCCCCACGCTGCCAGACCCTGCCGGCATATTTGTAGTCTGAAATGACTCATTCTTAAAGTACTTAAAATATCAATAAAAATGTGTGATTCTGATATTTTGATTAATGAACCTAACAGTTTTTTAACTATAGATAGATCATTAAACTGTACAGTAAAATTCTTGCTCTGGGGTTTTCCTGTCCGATGTACTTTGCAGGCTGGGTCTGTTGCTAAGGCAGCAGGCGAGTGCAGGCACTGGAGGGCTGCTGGGGGAGGTACCCCGGCTGGCCAGGGCAAGGGCGTCGGGTGGAACCTGCTCTGGACCGTTAGGCGGGATTGGCCAAATGGCCATGGACCTTACCTTTCTGAGTCTTGACCTGCTGCTGAAGACTTGGGTTAGTAACAGGCAAGGGATTGTTTTTAAGAAAAACAAGTCACTCAACTCTGCCTGGTATCTTAACATGCTAACTGACCTGCTCACTCAATAACATGTATCTAACCAACGTGATTGAGAGAGAAGGTTGAAACAGCAGACTGAGGTGATCTTTCAGTGTCCCCGTTTCATTTTTCAGAATTACTATCCCTATTTTCCGATGGCATGGATAGCTGAAGGTAAAATTACTAGTTTTATTGAAGAATTATAAGTGATACTGACTAAAGCCGCGAGTCCTCCTGGGAAAGCTGAGCCCTGGGAGACAGAGGCCTACCCCTCCCGTCAGCAGGTCACTGGCTAAGGGGCCGCATGGGGCCTCAGGGGCCTCATCTGTGTGTTGAACAGTTGCAGTAAACAGTCAGCTCTTCTTCAGCTCTTAAGTCCTGTACTTTTATCATTCTCATGTTTTCAATCTAAAGTTAAGCTCAAATTACTTAAGAAACTTCATGACAAAAAAGGAAGATTATTTCTTACTGGTTAAAAATACCTGTTTTGTTGACTTCAGTATCTTAAATTATAACTTTTTTCAAAAAATCTTGTTAATAAGGATTAAATTTGACTCCAAATAAGTTTATTTTTTACTCTTAACAGCTGTTGATGCTATTTCTTTGCCAGTGAAGTTGAAAAAGGCATATCAAGATCCCTGACTGTTTTTCCCATTACAATATTAACACATGGGAGTTTCTTAGAAATGCCTGAGGACTGGGCCGGCTGAGTGGCGTGTTGGTTAGGAGTTGGCTTGGAACGCCAGCTCTGAGCAGCAGGGCCCTGGTTCGGATCCCATATGAGGGCCAGTGACACTGCGCCCTCTACAGCTAAGATGGTGAACAACAGCTCCACCTGGAGCTGGGCTGCCGTGAGTTGCCAGTGATGGCGTAGGCTGCAATGGGGCTGGCAGGCAGCGGGCGTGAGCTTTCGTGAGCCGCCGTGAGCGGCCGTCCAATGGCCGGCAAGCGACTGCCTCACCCAGGAAGAGTGCAATGATAATACCAACATGGGCCAGTGAAGCGACATCCTCCACAACTAGACCGAGGAACAAAAGGACAGCAACTTGTCTGTTCCCCTTCCCCAATCCCCCAATAAAATCTTAAAAAAAAAAAAAATGCCTGAGGACTAAGACAGTATAGATTGTGTTGTTAGAAGGAGTGAGCATAATTGTTTTCCAAAGGGAAAATAAAAGAAAGGAAGGTTTTCATTTTCAAAGGGAAGCATTTTCATTATTGGATTAACTTCAGTCTTTGTAATATAAATTTAAAAGAGTTTAAAAAACAAAAAAACCCCAGCAGGCTAATGCCTCCTTTTTGGTGAGTGACATAACCTTAGGAGAAGGAACGAAAATAAATGTTTTATAAGCTGTCTGCAAGAGGCAGTCATTTACGGTGGTTTCTCTAGCAAGTGATCTAAAAAGGCATCAAGCTGTAGCAGGTTCTGCCTGTCTCTTGGTAGGAGGTGTACCCCCAAGGCCACCTTCGCAATGCTGGCTCCTGGAAGTCTCCAGAGTCCAAATGTGAACTGGGTCCCCATGTGCCCCACCTTGAGATTGTGTCAGAGTTAATGCAAAATGTCTGGATGCTCCAAAGTGGACTCTGATTATTCAGTATAACTTGTTTTCTATCTAATAAAAGGTGGTAGTTATAGTTATGTTATTTAAATTATGTCTCTTAGTGGGGGCAGCGCCTTTATTTTACTTACAGAAATTAGAAACTAAGATGGCCCTTAATATTTTCTGAGGTCCACTTAAAAGATGCTCTCATGATTTTTTGTCCAAAGTAGCAGCATGTGGAGATTAAGAATTACTAATCCTCTAAAGTAACTGTCTTTCCATCTCAGGTGTTTAAGGACAATTGCTGCAAGAGAGAGATTCTGGCTCTTCAGATATATTGTAGGAATGAAAGTCGGGGCTGTGCCGACCAGTTAACACTGGGACACCTGCTGGTAAGTGCTGCAGTGACACGAGTCGCTGGTCTGTGTGATGTGGCACCTTAAGACCATGCTTAACATTAATCTTGCAAAACACAACCAAATATGAAAGCAGCCACAGCCACTTGGGTATGAAATGTTTTTATGACATCATTAGCAGAATTGTCAACTGGTTTTTAAACACCCCCAGCCTATTCCGAATAGAAAGAAATCTGATGTGAATTTTAATTTTAGAAGGCCCACTGAAACCTTTTTTTTACCCTGAAATTCCACATAACTGCCTATGTTTTTTTGATTAGTATCATTTTATCCTGAAAGGATATTTGAATTAGAATAAAACGAAGTCCTTAGGAGATAACTGTTTGTTTATCCAGGAAGAAGAAAAGTTGCCTTAATTCTTCAAAAGCAATATAGTTTGAGTAAACACTAAATAGAAGGGCCGGCTGAGTGGCTCAGTTGGTTAAGAGCTTGCTCAAAAGTGCGAGCCCTGAGCAACAGGGTTGCCGGTTTGATCCCCAACACAAGCTGAGTTGCTGCTGAGGTGCCAACAAGTGGCAGGATGACTCAGCTTTAAAAAACAAAACAAAACACTAAACAGAGTATGAGATTCGGTGCCTCTTCATACGTCTGTCACTCTTATCTGTGAAAAACTGGTCGTACGGCGGCGGATAGAAACATTTCTGTAGGATTTAATTGCTTAGAGGCTAGAATCTGCTATTTCAGATTGAATTTTTCTGCCGGTGAAGAACTTTGAATTGTTGGCCTTACAGGTGCACTTGAAGAATGATTGCCAGTTTGAAGAGCTGCCGTGTGTTCGTGCTGACTGCAAAGAAAGAGTATTGAGAAAAGACCTGCGTGATCACGTGGAGAAGGCCTGTAAATACCGCGAGGCCACGTGCAGCCACTGCAAAAGTCAGGTTCCAATGATTACACTGCAGGTGCGGTATTATCTTGTGTCACCTACCTTCTGCTCAATCCAGATATCCTTTGTCCTTTTAAATGACTCTTCTAACAGGAACAAAGAGAAAAGACAGGCGTAAATAGCAATTTTCATTTGACTGTTAAAAAGTTAAGCTTTATTTGTTTTACCCATTTGATTATGTAATTAGCATTTTCCATTGCCTTGATGGATTATCATTTAGGGTGCCAAAAAAAAAAAAAAAGACAAACTATTCAAAAAAGGCAGCATTTTTCATTTGTCCCAGGGAATGGCCTCAAAATGTCGTTGAATCGGTACAGTTTTTTACAGCTCTGTGATAACCATCACCTCAACAGGGTACTGTTTATCCTGCAGTGTTAAGCGCAGCTGTCTGTTGGGGAGAGATGAGAATTTAACATTTTTTTCGTACTTCAATTATTTTGGCACAGTTTGATATTGTACACATGTTAGAATCAAATCACTTCTCTGTAAATTAAAGAGAGAGATGTTGAGGGTACAGGACAAACTTTAAAAACAATCAATGGTATAATATAAAATAATATTGAGTGTCAACTATAACTGAAAAAAACCAATCCATGGTATGGTAACCCTCAAAAATGTGTCCATTTGTTGAACAAATATTTACCGAGTACCTCCTATGTACTGGGCACTGCTCCGGGACCTGAGGGTTTATGGTAAAGGTCTCCTTCTAGTGGAAAAGATAACAGGCGAACACAATGCGTGGTGGTGATTTGTACTGTGAAGAGGAAGCTGGCATCAGGGAAGGGCGTGATCGGGGCAGGCCTCTGAGGCGGTGAGCCACTGATACAGCGGGAACAGCAAGCGAGCACACAGGCTCTGAGATAGAACTAAGTTGGCAGGTGGGTTTTAGGAGCCGTGAGGCCAGCGTGCTCCATGTGTGGAACACAGGCCGGGTGCACAGGGGATGGCAGGCAGACTAGACGGTGGGGGTGATGTCACAGTTCTACATTGCACTGCTCTGGCAGGTGTCATAGGTAGACGGGGGTCGGGGACATGGAAGTGAGGCACAGTGTTGGCCTAGACAGGGAGAGGAAAGGGTACTGGGGTACGTTCCAAAGGTAGACTCTGTGGGATTAGCTGATGGCTCGAATATGGAGTATGAGTTAAGGGTGATGCCCGGCATTTGTAACTAGCACAGCTGGATGAACTAGAGTGTCCTACCGAGGCAGGGCTCTGTGGAGGATAACAGGCCTAGGGGGAGAACAGGTGGAGTGGGCTGCAGATAGGTATCAATAGGTGGTCCTTGCAGCCATGGGACTGGAGTGAGTGGAGAGGAGAGCCAGTCTGAGAACAGAAGCCTGGGCACACGAATGCTTTCAGATCGCTAAGAGGGGGCCATCCAGCAGAGGAGGGGCCGGTGTGGCAGGGTACGGAGAGGGGTGTCCCAGAGCAGGGAGCTGGAGGGCCAGTTGGGGCAGCTGCTGCTGAGAGGCTGAGCAGGGAGCGCTGGGAGTTCCCCTCTGGATGTGGCAGGGTGATGACTGATGCGGTCACCGGATGGGAGGGGACTCGGGAAGTGCAGCCAGGGCTTGAGGGCCGAATTCCATATTCTAGAGCACTTATTGACCAAAATCTACTTTTTACTTTTCAGTGTGAAAGCTGATATAAGCCTTATAATCTCCACGTTTACCTTACTTTGTATAGCTTTCCTGTGCCTGTGACTTTCTTCTGTTGTGAAATCTTTCTCCTGTATGAATCTAGACGTGTCCAGTTATTAAGAACTGTGAAAAACTGTGCTCCCCTTTGAAGAATAACAGTAGCATTTGTCATAGCTGAATAATTCCTTCAGACCTTAATGTTAGTATGTTGCTATCAAAGTTACACTTTACTTCTTGCAAAAATCAGTTGCCTTTATTTGCAGAATAGAATCCAGGAATTAATTTTCCTTCAAGAAAGAATTGTAGAGCGTGTCAGTTAAACCATATAAGCAACTGGCTTTGAACTCCAGATGAGACTGTGAAGAGACTAGTTTTAAAAGCAGCATATGGATCCATGAGACTTGTTCAGTGTCTGTTGGGCACCAAACCCTGAGCTAGTTGCTGGGGACGCACAAGAGCGGGAAGTACAGTCTGCCCTCTCATCTCACTGCCTGGTGAGGGAGCTGTTGTATGTGGGAAGCATGGTGACTGTGCGAGGAAAGACGCACCATGAGGAAGGGCCAGCTCACTTAGCCCGATGTGGTCACGGAGGGCTTTGGTGCGCAAGTGGCGTTTGATTTGATCTGGGTCTTAAGTTTGTCAGCTGCAGAAGGGCGGGGAGAAGCACAACAGGTGCAGAGACACAAAATGATCATTAGCAAGTTTAGGACCTGAGTTGTGCAAATAAATATTCCTTATAAATCTTATTACGCTCTCGTGAAGGAAACTTTTGAAACTATTTTAATGATGTTGACATAAGAATGTATCTTGAGGCATATGTTACTCTCTATCAGGGCCTGTAATAATTATAAAAGGCACACCTGTTGAAGGTCACTGCTAGTGCACCATTGCCCCTGACCCTCAGAGCCCTGAGCACTGGCAGGGCAGTTGCACGCTCACTTCCTTGCTCACCGTGACTTGCCCTGCTCCTCCTGTCCCGTCAGTGGCATGATTTGATTCCCAAGCGTTGCTCTTTCAACTCTAACACAGTTAGTCTCATCCTCTCAGGCCTTAAGTTTATTTTTAGAAAGATCAGCCGTCTAACTTAGGGAGACCTGAAACCCCAGACCATCCTGACTTTCCTTCATTTCCTACGTTTTGCGTTGTCAGTACATTAAATGCTGATAAGATACAGATTGATAAAGCGTTGAAACTGGACCGTTGTACTTCATGTGATCATTTCTTTTCTGTGTTTGAACTGTGGTATTGACATTGTACCAGCTGTTTTCAAGTTGGTTTTTAAAAAATCTGTAGGTCAGCATAATTTAAAGTGTCAGGGAAAATCCCTTTTACATTTAGTCTAGAAATTATTGAGTATCGGTCTCTTTCAAAAGTTTTGTTAATTTGTGAGAAGTCAATTATAAAGATCTCATTTTATGGGAAAATGTACGCATCGTAATGCAAGTCTGTGTAAGTACAGCCACTTGGAACACAAGTTGACAGTATTTTGTTAGGTTGAGCGTTCATGTGCTCAGTTAATTAGCAGCTCCTCTCCTAGAGATGTGAGAAGCTGTCACACGTACACGCCAGGACATACGGTCATGCATAACCACAGTGGCAGAAATCTGGAAACGTCCGACATCCATCAGCTGTGGTGGACCCAGTGGACTGTGACACGGCAGGCACAGCTGTATGGCAGTGTGGTGACACACAGTGAAAGGAGGACCCGCAGCTCTGCACAGCACGTGGCTTAGCCTGGGAAGCTCCTGAGGCAGGTCGCAGGCGACTCCCAGGGCAGGAGTCTGTTAGTCAAATTCAAAAGCAATCAAAACAAAACAGTATTTTGTCTGACACAAATATATGTGTCATGAAACTAACTCTCTTTTAAGCAAAAGGAGTAAAAACACAAAATTCAGGCTGGTTTCTGTGGGTGCTCCTTGGGGGAGCGTGGGGGTGAGGTAGGAGGGGGGCACACAGGTAGGTGGGAGTTACCAGCTATTAACACATCTGGTCCCTGGTGGGTGTTCACGCCGTTTTTCTGCTTTATGGCTCCCATGTGTCACAGCTGTTCTGTGTACGTATCAAAGCTACATTTAATTTTATAGACAGAACTAATTTCATTAATATGAAGAGATTTCTTATATATAAATAGATGAGCAGTTTTTAAAATGAGTTTATTATTTTCCTGTGGCTGCTGTAACGAGGCATCACAAAGTTGGTGGCTTAAAACTACAGAAATTGATTCTCTCCCAGTTCTGGAGGCTATAAATTCAAAACCAAGGTGTCGCCAGGGCTGTGCTCCCTCAGAAGGCTTCAGAGAAGAGCCTTTTCTTAGCCCTCCCAGCTCCTGGTGGTGGCGCCCACTCCCGGTGGTGGTGGCACTTGTGGGCTCGCAGCTGCATTGCCCCAGTTTGTCTCCATGTTCATGTGCCTGTCTGTCTGCAGAGTGTCCTCTCCTCCTACAGGGACCCCAGTCATTAGATGTGGGTCCCACCCTAATCTGCTGTGGCCTCATCATAACTAACTACGTCTGCAAGACCCTATTTTCAGATAAGGTCGGCTTGTAAGGTTCCGGGTGGACGTGAAGTGGGGTGGGGGGCGGTCACTGTTCAACACACTGCAGTGGGCAGAAGCCATAAAAAGGCAATTCATAGGAAATATAAATGATTAATAAATATAAAATATATGCTAAATCACATTAAAGAATTGCAGATCGCACCCATTGCCTTCTTCACCCATCACTGTCAAAGATATGGAACACTTTGATAGGATTGACAGGGGTGTTGGAGCACACACATTCAGGGGGATGGGGGTGGTTGCATGGGGTTACGGGAGGGCGGTTTGGCAATGTCTTATCAAAATCCCATTTAAAATACCTGTACCCTTTGGCACCCAACAAAGCCTGCTTCTAGAAGTTTATCGTTGAGATATTCTTGCACAGGTCTGTAAAGATACACCTACAGAGATATTGATTGGCCTGACTCTGCTGGCCCCCAGCCTCACCCCTCCACCGCCGCCTGCCCTGTCCTCCCCAGGTCACTACCCCCACCCCTTGCTTCGTCCTCAGAGCTCCCCTCCTGAGTCCCGGGTGCACCTTACTCTCTCCGGGGCGGTTGTCTCTTTGTCTGCGTTCCTAGCAGGCCTCGTTGTGCTGACCCAGCACCTGTGCATCTCCGGCCTGGGCAATGTCAGTGGGATCACGGGCAGGTTCAGGGAGGAGGCGGAGCATCGGTGGAGCATAACCAGGCCCAGGACTGAGTCGTCCTGCCCACCCTGTGAGGAAGATCTGCTCACTCCTGCCTGGGACAGATAGAACAGAGAGGTGAAGTCACTTGTACCCAGTTTCTCATTGAATGACAAAGAAAGCCTTGACGCTGGCACCTGGGAACTGTTTGGAATTCTGAGCATAGCCAGGCAGAATGGGAAGTGGTGTCCCCTTGGGGGAGGCCTGCTGGTCAGGCTCAGTGCAGTCGAGTGGCTTCTAATGAGGCCTGAACAGTCAGAGACTGGCCTTCAGTGGGCCTCTGAGGGCCTGGCCCAGGAGCAGAGTAGCTGCATTCTGTTGGTTATCATTCCTGTGCTGCAGACCCACTGTGCACTCATAGACAGGGACTTAAAAACATGCCCAAGAAAGCTGAGTGCAGTGCCAGCTGCCAGCCTCCTCAGAGAAGAGGAGTGGCCTCACATGGGCCACCATTGTCCTGGCCCCCATGCCTGCAGTCAGACAGAGGCGCCCAATGAATGTTGTCACCCCCCCCCACCCCCACCCCCCGGGCAATTCAAGTTAGCAGCCTAACTGGACACCCAGAGAGAAACTGAAAACCAGGTGAGAATCGGAAGTGCCCCGGGGCCACAGAAGATGCATCACCAAGGTTTCTTCTACTTAGTGATGCCTCCTCAAGGCTGCCCTCCCACAAGTCGCGGTGTTCAGCAGTTACACCTGTGGCTCCGCCGGCAGTGTCTCTCCCCAGCGGCCCTTTGTCGCATGTCTGGGTGCTCTCCAGGCCCCTACGTTTTCTGTCCTTGCCCTGCTATGCTTACAGACAGGTGCCCGTGGCACTGGGCTGAATAGTCACCATCCAGGCCCTGTGAAGCTAAAATTTGTTCTGTGCAGAGAAGGCTAAACCAAAATTTATCCACGTTTTCTGTGCACTGAAGATAATCTAGATAAGATTTCAGGGCAGTAATTTAAATACCTAGTAGATCACACTGTTTTCAGGTATTTGAGACGCATCATTTCCAGGCCCCAAAACAGAGAGGCCAAAGGAAATCCGTCCTCTCCAACCAGCAAAGGCTGGACATAGGCCTTGCGTCCCAGCCCCCCACCGTCTGTGCTGTGAGCGAGGGCCAAGCTGGCCTGAACTCACATGTCCAGGCACAGGGGGCTGCTGCTAAGACCCCACCTCTGGTGGACACCACATTCACCAGTCACCCGAACTTGACAGATTTGAGTAGATCTTCTGAGATGCCTTATTTTTCAGCACTCAAACTTTTTTTTATTTTTTTTTATCAAACTTTTTCAATCTAAAGACTCATCCAGATGTAATGTGAGTGTCGTGACTCGGGGGCAAGAACAGTGAGCAGAGAGCTTCCTTTGGGTCCATGTGGGGACAATGGTGGGATCTTAAGACGAGTTGTAGGTGTCAAAGTTGACAACACTTTCTTTTTCTCCTCCAGAAACACGAAGACACTGAGTGTCCCTGTGTGGTGGTGTCCTGCCCGCATAAGTGCAGTGTCCAGACCCTTCTGAGGAGCGAGGTGAGGGCGTGGCCGGGGCCTGGTCAGGAGCTGGTGACGTCTTCAGGACTAGCGTGCCACAGACACCACTTTTCCCTTACTAGCTGAAATCTAAGGTTTTCACAGATCATGATAGTAATACGTATAGTAGAAAAACAATGAAAAACTTCATACTATTTTTGGGAGTCAAATTTCAGAAGCAAGCATTAAAAGCTACAAGGTGGTAAATTTAAGAATTGAGAAAACGGAATTACTTTACAATGCAAGCAAAAGTGACACTTTTTACATTCTAAAAAAGCTATTTTTAAACCTATAAAATAGGGATTACTACAAGATTATCTCAAGAAAATTAATTTAGAGATACTCCAGAATGATTCTGGCCACACATGGTGTGTGGGACTGGCTGGTAGGCACAGGGTTGCCAGGGAGGTACCTGAGTGGCCCCCCTCAGAGGCCATGCGTCTCACACCCTCCCCCAGCATGTTTTCTTTAAGGCAGGTAGATTTTGCATTAACTGCATTTGATCAGGGTATACCCAGATGGAAAAATTCCAAGGATTCATAATGTTTTTACATCAGATTCCTCTAATTGCTGTTCCAGGCACCGTCTGGGGCTCCCATAGGCTCTGTGAGTGTGTGCGTCCCCTGGTCCCCTGACTGGTCCCCTCCCTTGCCCTGGGTGCTCTGATCTGAGGAGCCTGCTCACCTCAGCCTTTTTCAACAGCCCAGAATTTTACCACTGGATGTTGGGGAGGGGAGAATCGGTCCCTCTCATCCCCACTGAGTGAGGACCCATGTGAGCCTAGGGCCAGTGACACAGGGTGCTGAGAGGACCCTGAGAGCCACTCTCCGTTGAGGTGCGTCCTCCCAGAAGCTGACTCTGCTGCAAGGGCAGGCTCTGGCCTGGTGACAGTGGTCCCTGGGCCTGAACGTTCCTCTCGGTGTAGCCCAGAAAGGCCCGCAGGCTGTTCCCACCTGGAAGGCCCTCCATTAAGGTGAACTGTGCAGGCTGTACTGTGCAAACAACCCAGGGTTTTAGACACTTGACTAGACTTCTACTCAGGGCTGTCTGGATCAGGGATAACAGCTGCTTCCATTTTGCCTCTACGTTATTTTTATTTTAAAAATCTTTAAGCCTGCATTTATCTTGGGTTTCTGGGGAAAGGTAATTGGCCTGGAGGTTATTCTTGCCTCTGTTCCATAGCTCCTGTAGGTTCCGTAAGGCTCTGCGAGCAATGAGGATAAAGTCAACTTAGGAACAAATTCGACCCTGAATTTACAGCAGGGCAGTGATCCTCACATCCGACCCACCATGCCCCTGGTGTTAACATCAGAAGTGCTGGCTGATGAGACTCATGGTTCTGTTGATGGCACTGGAGGAACATGTTTTAAAATTTTGTAATTGATGTTACTACACACACGGTCTCATGATGCATTTCTGTGCCGTCACCTGAAATGGACCTTTCCAGCGCTTCCCTTCAGGTGCAGGCCTGAGCTTCTAGGCTGGGTTCAGAGGAACGGCAGGTGTGCTGGGTGGCTAGATCTGTGACCACCGTGACTGCCCTGGCTCAGGGACCTTCCGCAGAGCTTGGCCTTGGCCGCAGTCGGGTGGGTCCCTCCTCCCACTCCCTTGACACTGGCTGTCCTCTGTAGCAGTCACAGCAGGGCGAGAGCGCAGTCCTGGGGTCCACTTTCCTCTCTGTCCTAAATTCCGACCTAAAGGGAAAGGTCTGTCTTTGTCCTGGTAGACTGAGGAGAAGTTGTGGGAACCAGCTGCACCGCCATAGTGACATACCCGTGAGCCTCTGGGGTACATGCGCGCTAACACGCCCACACACCCAGTTTCCTAATTTAGGGCCTAATTTTCCCTATAAAGACCTGTCCCTAGAGTCTCCTGATGAGAATTTCTTCAGGAGAAGAAAAGAAGAAACTGATTTTAAATTGCACCAGCCTGATGTGTAACACTATGTCCTCCAAATGCAGGCGGTCCCTCCCCTTCCCTCCCGAGGCGGCCTCCTGAGTGGTTTTGATTTCATGGTTTGCCAACATGTGAGCTGAGCAAAGGGGTTTTTCCCTACAAGATGAGCTGTCCTCTCCCAGTTCCTCCTCATTTTGTCCCATCAGTTAGAGGTGACAGTATTAAGATTCATGTTGTTAGAATGACCTTAGAGTCCTTGAAGCTACTGAACTTATGGCCATGCAGAGGGAAAAAAGTCTTTTAGAAGAAGGAAACTCATCTCCACTTACCTTGAGTATTGAGCGTAACTTACGGTACATTGTGTAAGCTTGCTTTGGAAATATATTTACTTTTGTGTACTGTATATTAGGTGTGTGACCCAGTTGCATCCTGAATGCTTTCTATTTTTTGTGTTTTCATGCAATTTTTGTTTAGAGTCTTTAAATGTGCATTTCAGTTTGTTTTTTTCCTTTATTTTTTTAATTCTGGCACTGCAGATGGCATGTCACAGTTTGAACAGTTCGTTCTAAAGAAACTGCAAGTTTAAGAAATGTTACAGTAAATGTATTTCTGTATATTGGTGTATATATGTGTATACACGTGATGGTACTGTATATTTACTGCATGAGTCTAGGAAGCAGATAAGATGTACACACCTGTAGCTGTAAACACCATTCGTAATAGTACAACCCAGATGCTATCTGTGCCCTTAATATGTTTGAACATTTTCATGCAAACGTTTGTGCCACAACTCACGTCTCTTTCCCGTTGCAGTTGAGTGCACACTTGTCAGAGTGTGTCAATGCCCCCAGCACCTGTAGTTTTAAGCGCTATGGCTGCGTTTTTCAGGTCAGTATCCAACATTTGTCCTTCCCAGTCACTGACATTCTGCCATGAGAGAAAGTTATTATATTAACATTTTAACATGCAAGTTCTGGACTTTTAGTCTTCATCATGGAACCAAGTCACCCTGTTGCATGGGTGACAAAAGCTGCATGCAGCAAACGCGGGTGCTCGCATTCCATTCCGGTGGTGGTTTGAGACTTCAGGTAGACACCTGTGCTGAGAAGGAAGTCGGCACATTATAGGAGAACGACTACATCGGAAACCAGCTAGAGAGTGAGACACACAATCAGGACTGACATTTGGTGGGTTATGGAAATTTCAGCTGTTACTCAAGTATAAGTAAAACAAGCCGTTCATGGTTCTAGCAGTGTGTGTGCATCAGTACGCAGCTGTGAGGGTCACACACGTGTGTGTCCATGAATGCATTTTACATACAAGCCACACCTCCCGCGGGAACATTGTGGAGAGGACGTCCCCATCACTGCCACACCTGTGCTGTGAGAGACCTGTTTCTGGCTTTTTGTGTATTTTTTTAAACACATCTGAGATGGCTAGTGAATTTGAACCGAGTTTTCATTTAAATGTGTGTCTTAATCTTAAAACTTTCAAAAGACAGTATATATTACAGTGAAAGTATTTCATATTTAATTTTAATGTATTATCAGTACATTACTATGAAATCCATACAGAGATATTGGCATCTCAGTATTTCCTTGAAAGTAAAAACCCTAAGAAGGAGAATAGCTGTAGCTCTCCCTTTGCTCCAGTCTGTTAAGGAGACTGAGCACTCACCACTGTTATGTCGTATGTAGTATCATTCATTCTGTGTTTGTATATGTATATGTTGATACATAGTAACTCTTATATCAACATATATATATGAATATTCTATGTACAGAGTATATGTTTTGGAGATCATTAAAATGCTTCCTGTGGCTTCTTAACTTTCCAGTATCCAAACAAATTATATTTTCATACCAGTTATTTCCTTAAATATGTGAAGTACTATTTCCTGTGCTGATTACTGATTGAGATGGTCTACATCTTATGTACTCTGTAGATTGTTTATGTTTTGTATGTAACTTTCTAAGTATACTTAGAATAGTGAGGAAGGACACATTTTCTCATCCAGTTTATTTCTCTAATAAGCTAATATTTTAGTGAATTATTTAGAATCCTACTCTGATTATATATGTTCACTAGAGTATCGTAACAGTATCGAGCTGTAACTGCAGGCTTCTCAACCTTTTCCACTTATATTTTCAATGAAAAAATTTATAAAAACAAAAATGATGTCTAAAATTTAGCTTCTTGATATTACAAGTGTGAAACGTAGATAAGAAAGCACTTGATAAGAAGCAGGCAGAATGAAAAGCATGAACTTGAGACCAGAATCAAATGTCTGAGCTGCTCTGCTCTTGCCAGCCTCCTGACCCGCACGCAGTAGCGCAGGGGCCGCTGAGCATGTAAGACTTGGAGAGCCCCTGTCCACTTTCCCTGGACCGGTCTGCCCTCTTCCTGTTTAGTATTGGCTTTAGGTCACCTGTTCGTCCCCTGTGCTCTGGGGTGCCATTGGCTTAACGTGCTGTGTCTTTGTTCTCACAGGGGACAAACCAGCAGATTAAGGCCCATGAGGCCAGCTCCGCAGTGCAGCATGTGAACTTACTCAAAGAGTGGAGCAATTCTCTAGAAAAGAAGGTATGACACGCCATGTCCTGCTCATGTTGCTTTTCATCATTTCTTCAGATTATTCAAAGAAGAAAACCTTTTTATAGTTATTAATGGTTTGGGGATAAAAGAAGCAGCATCACAAGATCATCAAAAAAGGAAATTCTCTTCACGTGATCTTGCGCTTATAAGTGAAGGTGTTTGTTTTTGTTTGTTCTGTTAGCTCTGCAGTGCTTTTTTTATAAAAAAAATCATATTGTGGTTATTTCAGCATGGATCTAGAACAGAGATCATCAAATTTCCAAACCTTCCCCTGCCATCTTTTTGTAAATACTAAAGTTTTACTGGGACGCAGACAGCCTTGTTCATTCCCACTCTGCCCATGGCTGCTTTCTGCACCATGACAGCTGAGTTGAGTTGAGACGAAAACTGTGTAGACCATACAACCCAATAGTTCCTCTGGCTCTTTACAGAAACAGTTGGCCAGCCCCCGAGCTGGAAGTTTACCATGTTCATTAAATGCTCCACCGTTCTTTGTCTTTTCTAAGAGACAAGAAAGGAAAGACATCCGTGTCACTGGTGTTCCTGTTGGTTTCTGAGCTGACTCTCTGTGGGACCTGGGGCACTGAGCAGGCCCGCTTCCCAGACAGACTGGTCCTCCGGCTTCTCTTCCGGAGGCCTGGCTGCGGGCTGGTTCGTGGTTGCAGCTTAAAGGCGAAAACCTCTGAGAACTGTTAGAGGAGTTGTTATAGACTCTCATCGTGGCTTATTTACAAAAATGAAAACTTAACAAGATATCCCACAAACTCGTACTGAGAACTTGCAGTTGGGGGGGGGGGCACTGAGCTGCATGAGAGCGTTGGGGGCCGAGGGGGTTGGTACCTGTTCTGTAAAGATGCGATTCAGTTCTCTAGAGATACTCAGCTGGAATCCCAGGTTGTTTGATTCATCTGTAACAGAAAATAAATGTTTGAGTTGGTCCAGAAAGACTGATCATGGCCAATCTATAGGAAAACTGTTTTGTGAAAGCGGGACTTAAAAACACCCTTACACATCGTGTATTTTAGAAAAGCTTAACACAAAGGGAGATGTAATGTGCTCCCCAAAACAGGCAGGAGGGCAAGGGGTCCCTGTTGCCATCTGCTGTGAGGAGGTTACGCTGCGCTGCTCGGAAACACACCTCCAGGTAGACTGTCTCATGTGTGACGTCCGCCTGACTGACAAGTGCAGCCAGGATCTGCGGGCACGGGGCTTGGGTTCTTTGATCAACACATAAATAAAGTAAGTTTAAATAAGGGAAGCCCCTAAATAAAGAGTTTAATAAGGCATGATGTGTGTTCATGAATGTGAGATACTTTTGCTCATCAAGTAACTTGATTTAGTGCAGAAAAAATAGTCATTTCTGGAGATATTACTGACATTTTTATCAAACAGGTTGGTATGCATGCATGGTCTCTCTTTTGGGGTGTGAGAATAGAGAGTCTGGGAATTATGTCTGTGGTGGCAGATGGGAACGAGTGGGTTGTAACTTCAGAAGAGGCAAGGACAGGGCTGTGTGGCTACAAGACTCCAAGCTGCATTATTGCGAGGTGGCACATACAGATGTCCGTGTGCATTTGAGACATCATATTGTAGGAAGGAAATTCCGATTGTGCTGAGCAAAAGCCTAGGGACATTGCGAATTTTGTATTCCTTAGTAGGTACATGTTATTCTAAAGTAAAACAGACTGTGATCCTGCCCAAAAGTGCTGCCTTTTGGCAGCATGGAAAGCACACCTGGCTTTAGGCTGGTTCTTCTTAAGGGACAACGTCAGGAATCAGTTCTTAGTCCTGGGTTTGTCCTAAGATGCCCTTGGTTCATCACCTCAGCTACGTCACAACAGCCCTCAGGTGACATCTCTATCCATCATGAGCACACAGTGACTTCCGTGTGGCAGCCGCACCCACACACAGACACACTTCTGTGGGTAGAGGGGGCCTTTCCCATGCCCAGATGCCCATGTAGAAGCGTGTGAGAGGAAGCCTTGTAGGAATTGCCCTTGAACTCCTCACCCCGGGCCCTTAGCCCAGTGTAAATTGGTTCTTGGGAGCTAATTACTTCTCAGAAAGATCTGAAAGAGCCGGGGCTGGGACCAGCGCGGCTGAGCACGTTGAGCTTTGTGGAAGGTCTCTTGGGGGCAGGCCTGGCACACTCACTGTGCAGCTCCATCGTTCTGCGGGTTCATAGGTTGCCCTAAGGGTTAATTGAAGCACATGGGTGATTTTTATTCTCACCAGGCTTTCTCATTATGTTGGGAGAGCTTCTCAAAGTGCAGGAAATGGCCTTTGGCGGATGTGAAATAATTTAGTGGGTTGCGACTAGCAGTTGTTAAAATAAAATAGAATAAAATAGAAAATATCAGGGTGCATTGTAAGTGATCAGGGCAAGTATGGTTTTGTGACACTTGCTTTTTAGCCACACGCATCACAAATGGGGTGAGATGTAAGAATGTATTTTTTACTGTGTTTCCTGGTCAAAGTTGGAGAGCCTCTCTGGTAAGAGGTTTACTAATTTTCAGTAAAAACTTTAAAAAGCATCCCATTCATTCAGAGATTCAGCCCATGGCTGCACTTGCACTGTGTTTAATTGGTGGGAGACATTTGGAGAAAAGCACTTGGTGGGACCCACGTTAAATCATCAGGACCGCCTTTTCTTGTGTGAGGGGGTTTCCTTTTCTTTTTCTGGAACTCCTTCCAGTGAGCTAATAGAAAGCCTATATTGTGAAATTTGAATTACTATCATAATTGTTATTAATTAATATTAAAACCACTTTTTGTTTGCTTAATTGAAGAATTTCTTTTTCAGGTTTCCTTGCTGCAGAATGAAAGTGTAGAAAAAAACAAGAGCATACAAAGTTTGCACAATCAGATATGTAGCTTTGAAATTGAAATTGAGAGACAAAAGGAAATGCTTCGAAATAATGAATCCAAAATACTTCATTTACAGGTAAGAAGCTCACAGCTATGGCCGGATGAGGGTAGAGGAGGAGCTGTCTGTGTCTCCTTCAGGGCGTCCCCAGGGCGTGTTGGAGCAGGAGCCCTGACATTTGTCAGAGGCGACATACATGTTTCTTGCCTGAGTGCTGACTGAGGACAGGCGGCCTGGGTGGCGTGGCAGCTGCAGCCCTGCGCTTTCCTCCTCACCTTCACCCCGGAGAGCAGGCCTTGCCCCCCTCTGGGCCTTGGATTCACTGTTGGTGAAATAAGACTTCAAGCCGTGATTTTTAAAATAAGCTGTTTTTATCATTATTTAAGATTTTCTATTGTTCATGAGTAGTTATGTATAAAGTTTCACTTCCTAAAGTGAAGTGAAGCCAGATAATTTTGGTCTAAGTTTTCTAGTGACACACATACTCACGCACTTTATTTCACCATCGTGATCCAGAGGTGTCTGCAGACAAACACATAAACCTGGGCAGCTGTGGGAAGGGGCGGCTGCCTGATCGGGCGCGAGTCAGATGTGACTCCTGGTGCCTGCTGTCCACACGGGTCTCCATAGGTACTTCCAGGACATTATTTCTGGGGATGCTGTGTGCGCAGTATTTGCTCATACTGTCATTTGTCATCGTGACGCCCACGTGTGTCACACACACCTACGAAAGAGTCACTGCTCTGTCGTCAGAATGGCTTTTCAGTGCTTATACTCACAGTGTATTCCCTAAACTACCTGGAGGAGAACATGTTCTCGTAGCCGAGTCACAGCGTCTCCGAGGATGCCTGTGCTCTCGTTTTAACACTGGACACTTAGTCCTTGAATGACATAGGGATTTATTAAATTAATCTCATTTGTATTAAACTTTGTGGTTGTCCAGAGATGAGGAAAGACACAATGAAACCTTAGATCGTATTAGAAAGCTACCAGGCATTAGTGTTGAATAAGCCAAAAATGTGCAATGTCACGGAAAACAGCGGCGAGAGTCCTGCGGGAAGTGCCTGGCATGTTGCTGAGGCCGCAGAGACGCAGGTCAGACCTCCAGACACAGTCCTGTCCCCACCACGTGGCCCCGCTCACCTGCGCCGTGCCCTGCCCCCCCCCCCATCCCGTTCTGACCAGGCGCAGCTCCAGCCATGGGACTGTAGCTGCGTGTCTGACCTGGGGCTCAAAGAGGCGTGTGGAAAGGCCAGGGCAATCACCACTTGTTAAAAACACCAAGAGCAGAAGAAAGGAGGGATAAGTAGTGGGTCTGTTTAAAACAAAACGTTAGAATATGTGTCATGAGGTCAGAGACGCAGCAGTCTGAAACCTCAGAGACCTCGCTCCATTGGGCTTCTCTACTTCTCCACCTCACCCTCTTCCAGTGTGAAAAGTTTGAATTAGTTTACTTTTTTGTGGAGCTTAATCGTTCCACTGAGTGTGATTTATATATAAAACTCTTATGATTAAGTAAGAGATCTGAGAAAGAAAGGAGGACCCAAGTTGCCAGGGCCCAGAGTAGTGAGGCCGATGGCGAGAGCAGTTGTTAGCGCTCCTGACCAGTAACGAGGGGGCTCACCAGTTCCGTCCCCGCAGGAAGAAGAGAGCAAGGCCATGGCTCGTATTTAAAGAAAGCGCCTTGACTCCTTGAGAGGCACAACTCACGATTTCCTCCCGTGCAGGAGCGAGACTGAGGTGGGACCTGTAAAGGTGGTTAGCTGGTTCACCAGGGCGGTTGGCATAGAATTGCAACCAGCTGAGTGATTTTATGGAAGGTGAAGTATAGTTTTACCTTTGACATCACTGAGGGGTTGCCAGCATTTGGCTGGTGAAGAGAGAACTTCTGGACTCAGTATATCTATGAAAGATTGAAAGCCCCCATGGGCTAGATGCCTGCCCACGCTCGCTATAAATAACAATTTCTCTCATCTTTCCAGACTCTTCTCCACCTCTTGAGCCGAGCCTGGCTCAGACGCGCACCTCTCTTTTTTTGTTGTTGTGGTTTTTTTTCTCTTTCTAGCTGAGCCATCCTGCCACCTGTTGGCAGCTCAGCAGCTGCTCAGCTCGGGCAAGGACTCGAACCTCTGTTGCTCAGAGCTCACACTCTTGAGCAAGCTCCTAACCAACTGAGCCACTCAGCCGGCCCGCGTACCTCTCTTTATTTCATTCCTCATCTTACAACCCTTCCAAATGCCCGGAGAAGAGCTTGTCTTAAATGCTGTACTGTGGCCCAGACAACCTTGTCTGACTGGCCTCTGTTCCACCTTTCAGACTTGGCCACCCTCTCCCCAGTGCAGCGAAAGGGACTTCTCCTCCACGACCTGCTTTCCAGACTCAGGCCCCTCCTCCAGCACCTCGGGTGTCAGTGTAAATGCCACACCCGCTCAGTGCTCCCCCCAGCCCTGTGCATCAGGCCACCTAGGCAATGACAGCAGTGTCGCTGTCTGTACCATCCCCTTCCTGGTCTGATTCTCCAGCAGACCCTAAGAGCCTGAAGATGGCGGAGTACAGACGAGTGAGCGCAGTTCCTGGTGGTCCTGGATATGGCAGATGGGGAAGCAGTCACAGACAGTGACAGGAAATGAAAGTTAAGAGTGTTTGCCTTTGCCGGTCCAGGAGGGCAGTTGCTTGATGCTTTTCTTTCTAAAGAACCTAATTTTCTTAATGTTAGCTGATTGCCCGTGTCCCTGCTGTTAGCAAGAACCAGATGGCTGGTGGCTCTTGCAGTCGGGGGGTCTGCAGGACTGATGCGCAGCTGCGTTCTGTCCCCGTGTCCCTGTGAGTCCCCCATGAGCACCACCTGCATTGTCTCATTGGGACAGTGTTTGGTCTCCAGGTCCCACTGACCAAATGATACGGAGTGACAGAAAGAGAGACAGTGATTTAAGCCCTAAAGTGCACAGTACAGGACACAGAGAAATTGGTGCTCTGAAAGCAGCCCTTTCGATTAGAATTATTTACATAGTGTGCAACCTGTGCCCTTTAGACCAGCTCCTGGATTCTTTTTTCTAATAAAACCCCACACCTACACTTAAGATTCTTTTTTTTTTTTTTTTCTTTAGCTGAGCCTTCCTGCCACCTTTCGGCAGCTCAGCGGCAGCTCAGCTCGGGCCGGGCATCGAACCGCTGTTGCTCAGAACTCGCACTCTTGAGCAAGCTCTTAACCAACTGAGCCACTCGGCTGGCCCTTAAGATTCATTTTTACGGAAACACTACAGTGGCTGAGTATAGACTGTTCTTCAGGAATGAAACGTTTACTGCATTTTGCAGAGAAATCGGCACTTTGCCTTGAAACTGTACTATTTCTACAAATGAAAGGTCTATTTAAAAACAGCACTTTTTCCCTTGTGTGTGTGTGTGCCCCTGCACAAACACGCTCACCCCGTGTCCCAGCTTGTGGAGGGGCCTTGCTGGGTTCAGTAGTCCTTATTGTTTGAGGTGACCACGTGCCTTCATGCCATGGTCCCAGGCGCGCCACCAGTCCTGTGAAGGAGGCAGCGCAGTGTCTTTTTTTTTTTTTTTTTTAACCTTGGGGGCTTGACGCTTTAGAAGTGATGGGTGGCTTGTTTTGGGCTCACTCGTAGGCCCACCAAGTTACCAAAGGACATCATTTCTCAGCACTGTCGGGGAGCATTTAAGGTTTCATTAACTTCCCTTTCTCCTCTTCACTAGTATCCACGTTAGCTGCGCTTATAATTTTAGCAGAGAGAGTACCTGAGAACAATTACACAACACACATTCATTAGAAACACCTTGGGGGGTTGGGTGTTCATTAACCCCAATAGTATTGTCCCTGGAAAATAAACTTTGTGAACTAATTAAATATGCCTCGAGCCATAAGTATTTAAAAATAAAGTGACCTCAGCATAGAAGGTGTTCCTTAGAGAAATCATCTTTACTTTTTAAATGTTGCTAATATCAGACTTTCTTGGAAAGAAGAAGACTAGCACTATGCTTTGACTCAAAAAAAGTAACCCGACCCACCATGTTTGTCCTTCATGGTTATTAACAGCCAGCAAAGGTGCTGAAACCTAAACGTTTAAAAATAGACTTCCAAAAGGAGAAGTGTACTCGGCAGGCCCCCGGGGCTTCCCCGCGCAGCACACAGCTTCCGAGGCGCCCCGGCACTCCACAGGCTCGCTGCCCGGCCTCTGGGAGCGTTATTTCAAAAATGCAAATTCTTTGTAGAAGTGAAAACCCTTTAGGTCCTTGCTTCATGTAACCAGCGGGTATACCGGTCATGTAAAACAGGCCACCATAGCTGGAGCACAAGGTTCGTCCCTCCAGTACCTGTTATAAATGTACGTGGTCTGTGTGTTTCTGGAAGAAAGGTTTTAAAATAGCATACAGTCAGGCCCGCTGTCACAGGCATGTGTGTGCCCAGAGGCACAGGACTGGGCATGGAGCCCTGGAGGAAGCAACCCCCCTCTCACTGGGCTTCACCCAGGGTCTGAGGACCCACCCAGGGCCCTTTCCTGCTGCCAGCCCCATGCAGACACTCGGCTCTCTGGAGCAGGTGGCAGGGTGGTTGGTGGCAGCTCGCTCCTGGGACCGAAAAGGGGCTGTGGGGCACCCTCTCTGCAGCCACAGAGAGAGGGCAGCCCCTCCAGCCCTGGGCCAGGCAGCCAGGTAGGCCCCTGCTGGTGACTCGGACTCTCGGGAACGGAGGCCTTCAGATGGCGCCAACCGGTGACTCCAGCGTTCTAAACTTGCGGTCCTAGGACAGAGTGATATGGGGGCTGCCTGCCCTACAGTTTGTGGGGTGAGGCCTTCCTGTGCCTTGGTCCTCTCCTCTGGGAAGTAGGGATCCTTGGTACCTGTGTCCCCTGAGATACATGAGGGCATCGCACAAGATGCCCGTGTGAGAGCACGCACGGGCTGCCAGGCTGAGGTTGCCGGATGGCTGAGGTGACTGTTCTGTTCCGGTATTTGATGGTGGTGGCACAGCATTTTCAGTGAGCTCTGACTGTGTTTTGCCTTTTGATCCTTTGATTTGGAAGCGAGTGATAGACAGCCAAGCCGAGAAACTGAAAGAGCTCGACAAAGAGATCCGCCCCTTCCGGCAGAACTGGGAGGAGGCAGACAGCATGAAGAGCAGCGTGGAGTCTCTCCAGAACCGAGTGACGGAGCTGGAAAGTGTGGACAAAAGCGCAGGGCAGGCAGCTCGGAACACAGGTGAGGGCGGGCGGGACCTGGGACAGGTAACTTGTCTTGGACGACTCCCGGGACTCCACGGCAGTGCTGTGGCTTGAGCTTGTTTGGTAGGTGGCACACTGGGCATGTGCTGCCCTAGGGCAGTCCCAGGTCACCCATGTACAGAGGTGACCTTCCTGCTGACAGTGACAGTTCCCACCGAGACTGTCCCCTGCACGTGAGGCCAGCATGGCAGAGAGCAGGCACGGGGCGGACACCAGGCAGAGGGCAGGGCCTGCTGGTTGGGGTGCTCCCGGCCATGCTTGTGACAGCCCAGGGAGCAGGAGCGGGAGGTGACACACAGGCTAGGCCATGTGTCTGGCATCCAGAAGCGTCCTGAGCCTGCAGCTTTAAGGACTGAATGAACACTTTGAGTGTTTGCATGGAAACGATTCATGGTGACAGGAACAAGGCGTGTCCTGGTACACGTGGCGTTGGATGCGGCTGGCAAGGATGTGGAGTGGAGAGGGGGGCAGCTTACACTCCGGGCACAGATGACCCCACGGCTGGAGGGCAAGCGGGCGGGTATCCCTGTCCCCAGCAGGGCTCTGGGGGTGATGTGGGTCAGCTCCCATCACGGACCCTGCAGTGGAGGGCCCCCAGGTGTCATCCCCGCAGGCCGTGGCCATGTGTATTGGGGGATACGCGTGGGGGGTGGGGGCTGTGGCAGGATGTCTGCATGGCATTTGTCCTCCAGCCAGTAGCCACAGTGACTTCTTGGTGTTTGGTTCAGAGGCCGGTGGGGGTGGCTTCTGGGCCTTTCTGACTCTGCTGACCCCTCCATCTCCGCCCACCCGAGATAGGCCTGCTGGAGTCCCAGCTGAGCCGCCATGACCAGATGCTCAGTGTGCACGACATCCGCCTGGCAGACATGGACCTGCGCTTCCAGGTCCTAGAGACCGCCAGCTACAACGGGGTCCTCATTTGGAAGATCCGTGACTACAAGCGGCGGAAGCAGGAGGCCGTCATGGGGAAGACACTGTCCCTGTACAGCCAGCCCTTCTACACCGGCTACTTTGGCTATAAGATGTGTGCCCGGGTCTACCTGAACGGCGATGGCATGGGCAAGGGGACGCACTTATCACTGTTTTTTGTCATCATGCGCGGAGAATATGACGCTCTGCTTCCGTGGCCCTTCAAGCAGAAAGTGACGCTCATGCTGATGGATCAGGGGTCCTCTCGGCGGCATTTGGGAGACGCTTTCAAGCCGGACCCCAACAGTAGCAGCTTCAAGAAACCCACCGGGGAGATGAATATCGCCTCTGGCTGCCCAGTCTTTGTGGCCCAAACTGTGCTAGAAAACGGGACGTATATTAAAGATGATACCATTTTTATTAAAGTCATAGTGGATACTTCGGACCTGCCTGACCCCTGACCAATCACCGGGGAGGCGGATCGAGCAGAAGGCGACTCCTCTCGGGGTTTGAACCGCTGTCTCCACCGAGGTCCTCGCGCTCAGAAAAGGACCTTGTGGAGTGGAGGAAGTGGCAGAAGGCGGCCGCCGGCCGTTGGCAGGAGACAAACGTGAGGACGTTCCCTAATAGACTAGAAACACTTCACTGAGGAATTATTTATCCTTCAACGAGATAAATACTGCTGTCAGAGAAGGTTTTCACTTTCATTTTTAAAAGTTTAATTAATTAAGATGGAAAACATATATGCTAAACAAAAGAACCATGATTTTTCTTCCTTAAACTTGAACACCAAAAAGAAACACACACACACACACACACACACACACACACACACACACACACACACACGGGGATAGCTGGACATGTCGGCATGTTAAGTAAAAGAAGAATTTATGAAATAATGCAATTCTGATATATTCATTCTAAAATTCAAGAGTGCAATCTTGTTTCAAATATAGTATATTGTCTATTTTTAAGGCCTCATCTGGTCTCTGTTTTAATAATTTGTTTGTCAGAAGACCCTGAAGTACACTAGGTCTTTTTTGAAAGTCTCTAAATTCAGAATCATTTTTTAATTTGAAGTTCTAAGATAATTGTTATTGCAAACATTTTATTTTAAAACGTTGATAGACTTATATTTCTTGGAAGAAAATGTAAAATATCAAACACTGGTTATCACTTGTGATAGGAAAGAGAATATCCAACCTGTTGTTATTTCTCGTTAGAAATGTAAACCTTCAATATCTGTCGTAGTTAATGACACTACTGCAAAATTATTACGAAAGGAAAATTGCTCATGGATGCTGTGCATCATTTTCAGATTTATAATTGTTTTCACCCTAAAATAGGGCATTAGTTGAACTTTGGAGTTCTAAACAAAATCCTGTAGGTTTTTAAAATTCTGCCCCATGTGTTCAGACAAGCTCTCGATTGCTGACAACACCGACCTTCAGTGTCCAGTGTCCGGGGGTGGGCAGGTGACTTGTGCTGGAGGAGGCCACAGCAGGCGTCTCTTCATTCTGTCATATTGCTGCATTCTGTGAACGATCTCCGAAAGCAACATCTGTGCATAGAGATGGTGGCATAGTGTACATGTGCCTTAGACGTGACATGCTGCTTCTCGACCCGAGCTTTGTGTTCACTGTAATTCTAGGACGTGGTAGTGTAACCAGACTGCTCTCTCGACCACTAGATCTGTCTCTGTCGGGCCCTCAGACAGCCCCACACCTGCTGAGGGGGCAGGCTCCATCCTCGGCTTCTGGGGCCTCCACTGCTTAATTATCACAGACTCCAAATCTCTAGGCCCCCAAAGCCAGCCGCTTGGTCCCACCCCCCGAGGCAGGAGTGGAGCAGCAGTGGCACCTCTCCGTGTCCCCACCCAGGCCCTGGGAGCCCACACCACTCAAAGCAGAGCCCTCTGAGCATCCCAGAGACCGCCGCTCTGGGGGCCTGCCGGGCTGACCCACAGGCCCCGCCGCTCCCCGGGAAAGGGTGGTGTCGGGGTCCGTAGGCCCAGCCTGCGCCTGCCCAGCCGGCCTTTTCTCAACTCACTGTTTACCTTCTCTCAATGGTCCAACTGTGATTCGAAGCCGGAGCCTGCCTGCTGTGCCCCTCTGCTATGCACCGCGCTTCCTGGGTGCTCTAACCACTGACGGGTGCTACACGTGACGGGTGCTTCTTAGGCACAACCAGTGCGTGACCCACTGCATCTGTGCCACTCATCCACAAGACGCGCCCACACTCGGCCAGCTGGGCTGCGCACCTCGGACTGCCTGCCCCTGGGCTCCCCCGTGGTCGTGCAGGGACAGCTGGGTTGGTGCCCGGTGGCCCACCGTGTCTCTGGTGCTGCCATCTGCCCTGGGTGTGCCTTTGCCCCAGTGCCTGCTGGAAGTGTCCTCTCGCACACCGTCCCCATGCTTCCATAAATGACCTCGTGGGTTGCAAGCACCTGCCATGCCCTTTGGCAGTGAAAACGCTCAGCTGTCTCCATCTCCTCTCCTTTCTCCACTCCCCAGCGTGGCCTGGAGGGTGAATCAGTGTCATCGGTCTGCCCACTCAGCCGTATGTCCCCACTTGGAGGAAGGACTTCCTGCGGGTACTGTGGGACCGCTGTTCCCTCGAAGGTGTCCCCACCTCCTCCAGGTCTCGCCCTGGGTTCTACCCAGCATACCTGGAGGAGGGAGGACGCCTGGCAGTCCCTACCTGGCCGCAGGTGGCTTCCCGAGGGCGGGGTTACCGACCAGAACATCCCTGCAACTTCCTCCCCTTCACTAAAAGTGCGGACAATATTAACAAATTTAGGATATGCAACATCTTAGTGTGGTAAAAAAAAAAAAGACAAAAAGACAAATTTTTTCCCCTCCCTCCCTTGGTTGAAGTCCTGTTGGGGGTGGCCGCCTGGAAGCACCCGTCCCTTGGTGGGGGGCTTGTCCAGACTTGCTTCTGGTGGGAGACGCTGGCCCTCCCCTCCTCCCGAGGAGCCCGTAGGACGCAACTTCAGTAGCTGGCACCGTCCTCTGGGATAAGGCTGTGACGTGGTAGCATCATCCTGTGGCCTGATCACAGTTGGTGGCACTTGGGGGTCGTAGACCTTGTGGCCACTGTTGTATACACACCTCTCTGTCGTACGCTCGGCCTGGGGAGGCCTGGGATGGGGCCTGGCTGGACGCCCTCGCCCCCGCTTCTGCTTCACGGGATCCTGGTGACAAGTGAAGGGTGTCAGGCACAGTGTGATTGGGTACACTTTTCACATTAACTAAAAGTGACAGAATTCCCCATGGGACAAAACTGCTCCCATACGTTAAAGAAACCAACACCGAGTCTCATGCGTGTTCAGCCAGCAGGCTGCCCTGTCAGCCTGTGCAGGTCAGTCTCTGCGAGTCCTGGACATGCTCCCTGCGTGGCCCTGGGGGCTGCTGGGGGGAGAGGCGTGTCCCTGCGGGTGGCGACTGTGCTGGAGACTGCTTGCATGGCCTTGGTTATAAGCAGGGTTTTCCATGTCCCAGGTTTGTAGGTAACAGGAGACAGACAGGAAGAGTGTGTGTAGGTTGCTCTCAGACCTGTCAGAGAGGAGGGTGGCACTGACCCCTGAGAGGCTCCGTGTGTGTTCACTGTGCAGGTGGACAGAGGAGGCTGCGTCGTGGTCGCAGTCACGGCCCCAATTCCCAGCCTGTGCCCAGCGCCCGCCACCCCTTGATGCTGGAAGCCGGTTGAGTAGGAAACTCGAGGCCAAGCCGCTCCCGCCCCCCTCTCACAGGACTTCCCTGCCCTGTGACCCCAGAGGGCAGTGGCCAGGGATGCCTGCCCTCCCTGGTGGCACCTCCACCTGGCCCTCCAGATGCGGCAATTCCAGTCTCTGGGGCAGAACCGATGCCCCGAGGCTTCCCCTAGGCCACCGCGGCCCACCCTGGTGAGGATGGAGACAGCCAGCCTCTCCTCCAGGGTCCTCAGCCGCCTGGGTTCGGGGTCACACGTCCCACTTGAGGCCTGCAGTCGTCATCAGCAGCACCGCCTTCACTCTTGGCAGTGTCGTGGTGGCATTCCCCCGCGGCCGGCCTGGCATCCTGCAGCCAGTGGGCAACGTCCAGCAGAAGAAAGGGTGGACAGACCCTTAAACACATCCGGGTCCCAAGGTGGGTGGGTTATCTCTTCATCAGCCCAGGGGGGGCAGGGAGAGAGGCAGGACCCCAACTCATACCCTGGGGGGGGGCACAGTGCCTCCAGGGCCCACAGCCCCACCCTCTGCACTGAACGAGTGACCCCGGCCGGTCCTGTCATACTGTGTCCCCCACAGACGTGTCTGGCTCCAGCATCTCCACTGTCCTCCTGGTTGGTCAGGAGCTCAGACTCCTTGTGGGGCCTCCTATCCAAACCTCGGCCTCCATAGCGGGTCCCTCCACTTGGGCACTCAGTCTGGGCAGGGCTGGGGCAAACCCTAAGGCCCTATTCTTGTACTTCCAGACACAAGCTGGGCAAGTCCCAGGGGCTCCTTTGCATTGTGAGCGTTTGTGATGAGTTGAGGGGTCTGCCACCCAAATCTACTTCTCAGCCCAAGACCGTGGTTCTGTCTTCTGTGTGCAAATCTCGATAGTTGTGTTTTCTCCAAAGTGGAATGTGTCCACTAGGGTCCAGGTCAGATGAGGCCAGTGTGAGGAGGCTCCAGTGTCGGCAGGTGTCCTGGTCATCATTCCTGTCTGTCCAGGCAGTGCTGGTTGTCTCCAGGGAGCCAGGGCCCAGAAGCATCCTGGGGCGTTTTTCTTGGCCCCAGGCGACCGAGGCCAGCAGGCTGTTGGTCCGCTTTGCAGAGGCCGAGCAGTGCTTGCATTTCATTCCGCTGCTGCTGCTGTGTGTAGTCTGTCTTGTGAACTCGAGAAGACAAAGGTTCAAGTCCAGGATGGCTGTTCCACTCCTGCAGTTCTGCTGGTTGGTTTTTGTAACCCAGTCCCCTTAGGCAAATAAGATATAACCTTCAACAGCAAACTCAATGACCTAATTGGTAAACACAAAAGCGGCATTATTCCAAGGATTTCTATAAGAATTCTCTCTAGGATGACATCTGTGATAAAGGAAGTGTGTAAATCCACGTAGACGATGGTGTAACATTTTTAGAATTGCATTCTTTCTCTGACGGCACACCTCTCCGTTCAGTCCTGTTACCCAAAAACAAAGACCAAAGAAGGCCAGTCTCTCATTTGACTCTGTATTTTTAATCTGCCTGTTTTCAAAACCGCCGTCTGTGGTAACCGCTCGCTGAGGACCCATCTCGACAGTCCAAGTGATTGTGACCAGTGATTCACGTCCTGTGTTTTTCTGCTCTTCTAAGAAACAACAAAAAGACAGTATAAGTTATTGCTCAGCAATAATCATGTTGTTAATGTGTTAACAACATGTCTCATTTTCTGATAGCATTATCATGTTTTATATTTTTGTTGACTGTATATTGTGTGCGGTTTTATTTGGTATTTATTTGTGTTTTGAGGTCTTGCAATGTTTTTGTGTTTCTGATGCTAATGACTACAGTTTGTAAGAGTGTAGAATGCAAAACTGAAATGCTTAACTGTCTCATTAGAGGAAAATAAACCTGACTAAGGAGTTCCGTCTGTCTGTCCACCGCGCTGTCTCTTGGTCGTCGGGAGCGGCCTGGGCACGGGTGAGGGGGGACCTCGCTCTTGCTGGGGCCGCCCAGGCAGCAACCTGGGTATCGCTCAGCTGGGCCCACACCCGCCCTAACGCTCAGCCGTCACCGTGTTGAAATTCTTCATTTCTGAAAAAGAGTTCCTGCATGCTCACTGGGCCCTGGGCCCTGTCAGATATGTAGCCAGTCCGTCCCCAGCACTGCTCTGACTTGGAGTCCTGGGGGCTGGCGTCCCAGCAGCCCCGCTCGCGAGCCTGGGGCTTGGTCCAGAGCAAGCAGGTGGCCCTCATGTCCCAGAGGCCAAGTGGGGCCACAGACCTGGGGGCCTATACCAGTTCCGCCACTGTTAGCTGTGGGACTCTGGGCTCTGGGCCTCAGTTTCCTCATCTGCCAAATGGAAGGATGCAGATAGGTGGTTATTAAGAAGCCACCCCAGTGCTTACATAGTGGGTGGTTGTGGGGGCCCCTGGCGACATCGAGGCAGCTGCTCCTGGTGGGAATGTTACAGCGTCCTGGCCAACATGGCCCCTCCCCAGCTCGGCTCCAGTGTGGTCAGTCTCACATTTCTCTAGGTGGTTGTGGGGTCCCTGCCCAGTAGCAGGAAGCCCTGTGTCTCCCTTGAGCTTTCTCCGAATCATCAGGTGTGGGGGCACCTTTCTAGCACTGGTGCGAAGTCCCGGGAAACCGCTCAGCCCCTCCTCCTCTGTCCCTGCTCCAGGTGTCACCACTGAAGCCCCACTTGACCCCCGGAACACTATGCTGACCCCCTTCAAGTCATGGCTTGGGGCTGGTGCCAGAGAGGGGCCATGGGCTGCTCCCTCCCAAGGTCTAGACCGGAGGTCCTGCACCGCCCTCTCAGGGCTCACTGCTGTCTAGCGGCCACACTGCTCCTGTGTCCCTAGGCTGGTGGGCCCACCAGAGTCCCTCCACCCCACCTCTGCAGCCCTGCAGGGGTGGGGAGCCCACCACAGGAGCCTGTGGCCCCCAGCTCTTGTGACACAGGCCGCCCAGGAGCTGCCCAGAGAAGGGGGCATAGCTTTGTTGGCCCTTCCGCCTGGGCGGTCCTGAGTCCACACAGCCCTGCCCTCCATCCCCCTTTACGCTCTGGGTGACCCAGAGCCCCAGCCACCCCAGCGTCCTTGCGTGGGATTCCCAGCTGCATTGGGAGGCCACTCCACCAAAACTGCAGAACCCGGACCCTTTCTTTTCACCCTTTGGAGTTTTCTGAGTCCCACAGGATAGAAAATCAGCAGTACACCCCAGGATGAGGCCCACAGCCGCGGGGCGCGTCTGGGCCGAAGGTGCCCATGGGGACCAACAGAGCCGGCTGCAGCTCAGGCTTGTCCAGCAGCAGAAAGCATGCGCAGTGGAGCCGGTGTCTGCGCAGCTCCTCCCAGGGGCCCAGTGTCCTGCCCCCACCCAAGGACTGACTGTCCTCCGAGGCACTGAGGGCAGTAGCCCGGTGGGCCAGCTCTTGGCTTCCGCCTTGGTCCACGGGTCGGCAGTGGGGACAGTGGCTCTCCCAGCAGGCTCAGACCTGCGGGGGCCAGGTGGCTTGTTGTGACCCTTGCTGCCTCCCTTGGCTCGGGAATGGGAGGGGCCGCTGTCTTCCGATCTCTGTGATGAGATGAGAGCAAATCCCCCACGGTGCTGCTGGCTCTCGACCACCGTCAGTTTACTCTGCACCCCCAAGCGGTGATGTCGCACAGGACCGAGGACCAGGCTGGGGAGAGGGCCTGAGTCCACAGCCCGACTACTTGGCCAGAGAAGCTCGTATTCTGAAAGGTCCATTTATCAAGTAAGAAAAGCGAGGCCTGGAGAGGAGGCGGCCCTGCAGCCTGCCACTTGCTTGGCTGGTCTTTTGTGTGACTGCCTGACTGTGGAGCTCAGATCTGCTCACACCCTGACTGGAGTCCCAGATGGTGAAGGCCTTGGACGTCATCTCATTGTGAAGCACGCCGGGGTGTCCCCAGCTCCCAAGCATGGACAGCGGGGTGTCCCTGGAGCCCGAGCATGGACAGCGGGGTGTCCCCGGCGCCCGAGCGTGGACAGCGTGTACTCTCCACCCGGAATCCACGATGCGAGTGAACAGCACCATCCTCCTCAGTGTCCTGACCTTGCCCAAAGGTCACAGCCTGTGTCCCTCAGGTGCTCTAGTGCCTGCCAGTGCTCACCATGCGCCCAGGTCACCAACAAGAAGTCAGAGATTGAGGAGAGGCATTGAGTGACCGAGCCCGTGGGCCTCAGCCTTGCTTCCCAGGGACCCCCGGACACTAGGGTCCACCATGGAGGAGGGCGGAGCTCAGAGGCCCACGCAGCTCCTCCCCTCCCCCCAGGGCTCTGGGAGCCAGGGACCTGGGCTAGTAGCTGGCAGGGGTGGAGGCCAGGATGCGGGACCAGAAAGAGCCCATCCCTGCCCCCCGGCACCTCTCTGGGTGTCCACTTGTCTGTACAAGGAATAAAACGCTTCGCTCTAGCTGTCAAGGGCGCATGAGGCTCGTGCGACAGGCACTCTGTATTGGGGGTGGGGGTGCACTCAGGGGTCGTGGCCATAGCCTGTCAGGAAACACCCAGCAGAGACCTTAGCCTGCAGGGCGGGTGGCGGGGCCATGGACCTGCCCTCAGGTTATTCGGCTGAGAGGCTTCCACCAGGGACAGGCACCACACAGTGACTGGTGGCACTGGGCTCCGAGGCTCCCCCATCTCTCCTCCCCTGTGGAGCTTGGGACGAAGTCTTGTCCACTCGCGTGTCCTGGACCGGCACCCCTGACCTCTGGCTGTGGCTTCTCCTGACGCAGAGACTTGTGACTTCCCTCACAACCCTTCTCTCAGTACAAAAGCGTGAGGGGTGGGTGATAAACCTCCCACCCAGAATCAGGTCAGCAGCGGGCCCCTGGCTGGACCCTGGTAAGAACCCTCCCCACCTTGGCATGGGGGTTAGTGACTCGCTGGGGCCAGCTCCCAGGTCAGCGCTCCTGAGGCCCTCGCTGCCTTGGGACACCCTCTAACCATCGTCTGTGGGCAGAAAAGGGATGGATGACGCCCTGGGCCGAGAGTCTCCTGGTGCTCCCCAGGCCAGGGCAGTAGCCGGAAGGGGTGCCGGGCCTCACGTCACCTTGGTGCCCTGTGAATTGTGCAGCCTCACACAGCATGCAGACCCAGGACAGCCTGTGTGAGCCTGGGCCCAAGGCTGCAGGACATGGCGGGGGCTGTCCATCTAAGCTGACAGGTGGCCCACTCAACCCCAAGCAGGCCAGGCCAGGTGGAGACCCAGTTCATTTCACACACCTCTGGGCACCCCCTCATGTGTAGGGAGCCCAAGCGCCAGCAGCAGTGGGCCCCAGCACTCCCCCAACCCCCTCAACTCGCCCTTCCCCTATTCCCCCCTCCCCCTCCTGCCTGTGGGCTTCCTCTTCCTGTAGATTTCCCAGGTCTCAGCTCCAGTGTCACCTCACAGAGGCCTGCCATGGCCACCTGGCCTACCAGACCCTCACACCCTCCTGCACACTCCGGCCTTCCCGGCTCCGTGCTTCCCCAGAACCCTGATGGGAACCGCGGTGCGTCATGCCCGTCTGGCTCCCAGGAGGCCAGCTCCCAGCCCCACTGCAGGCCTGGCCCCGAGTGCGCTCAGGGGGAACTCGAGAGACTGGTGGGGAGGTCACAGGTCTGAGCGTGGGGGCTGTCCCAGGGCTCCGAGGGCTTGCCCCTGGGCTGGCAGGGGTCTGTGCCGAGGCCACAGGGCCTGGGAGTAGCCAGCCTGCCTTTGGGGAGTGTCAGCTGTCTCCTGAGCCCCAGGCAGTACATGTGATGCCTACAGGGGACAGGGACCAAGATGGCCTCTCTGAGGAGCCACCTTTGTGCAGAGACCCGAGTAAAGGGAAGCCCTGCCAAGAGGGGCCCCCTGTCATCTCCCACTGCCCCTACCCCTCCTTTTCCGGTGTCCAGGAATAGAACCATGCAGGCTGGAGCCTCAGTCCCTCCAGAGAAACACTAAGGCCCAGAGAAGTGCGGGGACCCACCCAAGGTCACACAGCAAGTCACGGACAAAGGTGGGGAGAAGCAGGGGGGAGGGGAATGCACCTGTCCACAGAGTTGAGAAGAACAGGGACGGTGCGGGGGGCGGGGGGTGCGTGATGCCCATGGCCCTGGGAGTCTGACTGGGGACTGGCTGAGGGCAGGTCTGCCCACCCCCACCCCCACCCCCAGGGCAGCAGGGCTGTCCGTCTTGGTGACCTCACCCTGGGCCCTGTGATTGGTGCGGACATGGAAACAGACCAAGATGAGACCACTGAGCCCCTGCACGATGGCCTAGCCACCTTCCCTGCCATGTGGAGAAGGCTGAGCACACAGGAAAACCAACACAAGCGGGAGCAGTCGAGCCCAGACAGCGCGAGACAGAGGTCACGAGCCCACCCAGCCCGAGCCCCTGGGTCCAGCTCCACCTGAAGCGGCTGCTCTGTGCAGTCTCCTGATCACTGGAAGAAACTCTGGGACTTGCATTTCTCCCAATGCCCAGAGAGGTCCTGGCCAACCGGAAGCGTGTGCCCACCTTGTACCTGGGTGTCCAGGGCACCTGAGCTGCAGGTGAGGCCCCCCGCTGTGAAAACGGCACCTGCAGCGTGGCCCAGCCATGTCTTCTCATGTCTCTGCCCCTGAGTCATTCTGGGGACCCTTTGGCAACCTGGGCCCTGCATGGGCTTCTGTCTAGGCTGCCCGCTGCTAACTGGACCCACCTCCAGCCTCTGCTCAAGGATGCCCCTTTCAGGACAGGACGATGACCGTCAATACCCCACAGCTGACTAGCCCCTACTGCTCCTGTTCTGTCACCTTCACTCCACCCTCCACACTATGCCCACAGCTGTCACATCAGCCTTCTTGTGCTATTAATGCTGCCTCTTCCAGGCAGCCTTCCTTGACTGCCCTCTCCAGACAGCACAGTCTTTGAGAATGGCTTGCGCAGGTGGGGCCAGAGTGGTCAGAGTTCTGTTTCCCCAAGCCCCTCCACCCCAGCCTCTGGAGCCTCCCTTCGGCCCTGCTCTCAGAACAGTCCACTTCCTGTATCAAGAGAAAGAGGCCCCAGCCTAGGGTAGGCCCGCCTGGCCTTTCAGGCTCGGCTGTGGTGCTCTGGGCCCAGGGGTGAAGTTCGCTGAGCCCCCAAGCTCTCTGCATTGAAAGCCAGAAGTGGGGTGGTGGGGGGAGGTGAGGGGAGCAGGGCCGGTCTCTCCTGAGTGGAGGCCCAATCAACAGAGCCACTTTTCCAGCGAGAAACCAGACAAGGGGCGAAACAGATGTCACCCCAAAGAGCCCCTTTGTTCCTGGTCAGGCTGCAGAGGATGGAGCCTCTTGTGAGCCCAATAGGCAGGCAAGGACGAACACCACCCACCCCTCTGGGCGGGGCTGGCACCTCTGAGCCTCTGAGAACAGGTGCCCCATCCCACCAGGACAAAGTATGGCGTCGGGGGAAAGCTGGTGAGTTTCCTCCTTCCCAGAGAAGCCACTGACTGCCCTACCCAGGGCACAGAGGTGAGAGCACCCAAGCAGCGCGCTCCAATCTCCCTGTGTGGGAGAAGCTGAGAGCACTCCGAGTGAAGGGTGCTGATGAGGCTTGCAGGTGAGGGGTGGGGATGCAGGAGACGGCAGCGTGACCTGGAGGGAGGAAGGCGCTGGGAGTTCCCAAGGCCGAGAAGTTCCCCTTCGCCCACAGTCCTCCATCTGTGCACCCACCTCCATCCACCCTTCTGGAGTCCCAGTCCAATCATGCCAGGAGACAGGCGGGCCCTGCTTGAAGAAAGAGTGGACACCCAGCCTCACCAGGTGGACAGATTGGGTGCTGCGTGGCCCCAGAGCAGAGAAGGGGAAGCCCGAAGGTTGTTTACTCGCCCCCCCAACACACCCATTTCACAGGGCAGGTGGGTCCTGACCATCCCACTTCCTGGGCACCCAAGGTCCTCAGGCCCTGGAGGGCTGAGTGGAGGAGGAGCGAGGCCGGGCAGACGCCTCGCAGGGGCCTGAAGACTCTGCCCAGGCGGCTCTGGAGGTAAATGTGTAACTGTCCTGGGGGCCCCCACCCCACCCCGCCCGGTCACGTGGGCTCCGCGGGGCAAAGTCCTGGTTGGTGGCTGCGGAGCGGGCGGCGAGATGGGAGCGCTGGGCCGGGTCCTGCTGTGGCTGCAACTCTGCGGTAAGCGGGACACGCAAATGGGGCCAGCACCGCCGCGGGGCAGACCGAAGGCTGAGATCCCCCGAGAAGTGGGCAGCCCGGGTCCCACCGGCGCAGCCCCAGCCGGCGGCGCGGGGGGGCTAGAAGCCCGGGGCCAGACCGCGGGAAGCAGCGTCTGCGCGCGGGAGTCTGCGAGGCTCTGCAGCGTGCCTCGGTTTCTCCGTCCCTCAGAGCACCAGGCCAGCGCGTGGCTTCGGTGCCCGCCCCCCAACGAACGGCGGGAGCTCTGAAAACTGCAGCCCCGTCCCTGTCCCTCTCTAAGTCCCTCGCGGCTCTCTCATGACACAGCTCCGGTTCAGAGCACTCCTGGCCTGTCCCTGCAGGCCCGCAGCGCCTTGTACTTGGCAGGGACGCTCCACTGTCCCATTCACCTCCGTCCTTGATTGTCACAATCTTTGCCCAGCCGGGTCTTCTGCTCCAGCACCGGGCAAAACTGGGGGCGGGGCCAAGAGGCGATCTTTCCCGACGCCCTGGAGGGGACACGTTTGAGTGGGCTCTGCAGATCCCGTAGGAGTTCGTCGGAGCCGGGGCGGGGCTCCCGCGGGGTCTGACCTGAAGCGGGGAGGCGAGGGCCTGGTCTGGGCCGCCTCAGGGACCCCATCTGCGCCTGGCTGTGTGACCCGCGCCCGCTGCTCCTCTCTGGGCGAGATCGTCCTCCCTGGGGGATGGGACTTCTTGGATGGAATCCGGATGCCGCGGGCACAGGGGACACTCAGTGGCTCCCTCCCTAGTGCTGACCCGGGCCGCCTACAAAATCTGGGTCCCCAACACCGACTTCGACACTGCGGCCAATTGGAGCCAGAACCGGACCCCGTGCGCGGGAGCCGCTGTGGAGTTCCCTGCGGACAAGGTTCCTGGGGCCCCCACTGGGATTGGGGGCAATCGGCCCCTCGGACCCGCGTGGTCCCGGGGGTGGGGGCCCAGTGGGGTCTGCCGCTGATGCCATTTCTTCCTGCAGATGGTGTCCGTCCTGGTGCGAGAAGGTCACAGCATCGCCAACATGGTGAGGGCTGCTCCGCTAGGGGGCGGGGATGGGGGGACTGTGCAGGCCTATGGGTGGGCTTCTGGGAGGTTGGGGGATCCCACATGAGAGGCGCTCACCCCCCAAGCCTTTCCCTGTCCTTGTGCCTGAACCCTATCACAACTCTACGGGACCTTTCTCTCAAACCGCTGGTGTCCAGAGAACGATGGGAATTAGGGGGGAAGCAGATTCCATAACCACCTTGTGTGGGAAATGCCGCGACTTGCACTTACCTGGAGCTTCTCACAGTATTAAAGGCTCTGATAAGGCCCATGAGAAAGACTCTGGCTGTCTATTAAAGCTGGTCAGTAAGCTGCCCAAATGCCCCTGCCCAGCTGAGGCTAAGAATGGTTTTCACGTTTTTAAATGGGAAAAAAATTGAAAGAAGAACACTATTTTGTGGTTAGTGAAAATTATGTGGAATTCAAACTTCAGTGTCCGTAAACGATTTTATCAAACACAGCCCACCCATCTATCTGGTCGCTACATCTATGGCCACTGTCATGCCAAAATGGCAGAGTTGGGTAGCTGTGACAAGACCATGTGGCCAGCAAAGCTTAGAATATTTACTATCCAGCCCATTGCTGAAAGGGTGGCCCATCCCTAATTTGAAACATCATTCCTCAGGCCCCCCAGGTCTCAGGGCCCACTGGTGGTGGAGCTGTCGCGCCCCAGGGCCCAGCACTCCCTGGGGTGGACCATTGTCCTGTCACCTGCAGACCTGCCAGCATGTCACACAGTGAGGGTCACTGATTCCAAGCAAGAGAGGAACTGGGAGGGGGGTGCTCTGTGTGTGGGTTCCAGGGTTGGGGTCCTCACCAGAGGCCAGCGGATTTTGTGTGGATGAGTGGGGGGCATCTGGAGGCCGGGCCCGCCCAATCTCTTGGAGGGTCTGGGGATCCCAGGCCTTATGTCCACTCCGAGGCTTCTCCATTAACTGCTGTTTTTCAAAAGCAGCATGGCCGGCTGAGTGGCTCAGTTGGTTAAGAGCTCGCTCAAGAGTTTGAGCTCTGAGCAACAGCGGTTCGAGTCAGCCCGAGCTGAGCAGCCGCT